ATCACTATACATCATCCAGATAGAAATCATTTTTCCTCGACACTGGATATCTTTGTTATGTATTCAAAGTCTTTCTTATATTCATCAAAATATTTTAACTCTGTGTGAACACAAGATTTTTAAAAAATGTTATATTTCGATAAGAAATGGTTAATCAGGTCCCGAAAATGTTCATCCCGGTCCCGATCTCAATCCCGTCGGGATCGGGATCGGGATCCTGAACAATACTTCAGTGACATTGAAACCGGGATCCCGATCTCGATCCCAACGAGATTGGGACCGGGTTCGGGAAAAAAATAGGGATCGGGATAATCCCGCCGGATCCTACTTGTCGATATAAAACAAAAAAATATCGAACGTGATACTAAATTGTACCGAGAACGTGTTTGTTTACGGAAAGGAAAATGTTTTTTCTCCTACACGAATAGCCTTGGGACAAGGCTGACACGTGACAAAAAATGTGTCAGGTTTGATGGCTGTCGTAATAATGTTGAAACCAAAGCGCTCGATCGGTTTTTATTTTGTAAGAGAGGTTTGAACGAATAATTTTGAGACTTATTGTAAGTTGAAGAAAGCAGCATATTGATTGAGCGAAATTTTTTTCAAGATTAATTTGCTATACAAATCTTTGTGCACTTGATTATTTAAATTACATGACATTGATTTTAAGTTTGACGGAATACGTTCCACACAGTACGAAAATTATTTCTTTCAGCGGGATGATTTGAATTCGAAAAAAGGGAAATAAATGAGTTTCAATGCTTGCGTTCTGTTTATAATTAATTTGATTCAATGCTATAGGGTACTTCCATTCAGATTCGCCCATCATTACCTGACCTCACAGCCGCGAAGATTTCAATATCGGCATCGTGTAGAGTATAAAAAGTTAGGCGTAGAACATTAGATTCGTTTTTCAAAAACCATGTGAAACGTAGTTTTCCAGAGGTCCACAGTTTTAGGGGCACTTTTAGAATTTTCCTCTCAAACCCAAACAAAACTTTTGACTAGTGTACACGAAAATATAGAGGAACAAAGCCTAAGTAAAATATCGAAAGAATTAGCCCGATATCTATCGGTGTTTTCGAGCCGTGATCGATTTAGTGCAAAAATTGGAAAGTTTGAGCTCATATATGGTATGAGGACTGACGACTAAGTCCATTCGCTATAGTGTCACTAAAACGTATAGGATATTCAAAATTCGAACTGAATTTCATTGGATGAAAATTTTAGTTTTAAATAAGCTTCAAATAACATTTCGTTTCCTCATATTTCTTTGTTATGCTGAAGCGTAGTTACTGAGATCTCCGATGAAGGCGCCACTAACAGACTGTGCTGAAGATTCATCGTGAGGCGCCCTCATCGAAGACCTCAGTCGCTACGCTTGAGTATAACAAAGAAATATGAGAAATAACATGTCATTTGAAGCTTATTTAAAACTAAAATTTTCATCCAATGAAATTCAGTTCGAATTTTGAATATCCTATATGTTTTAGTGACACTATAGCGAATGGACTTAGTCGTCAGTCCTCATACCAATACCTCAAAATCTCCCCGAAAATTTTTTCTAATTATTATTAGACTAGATAGAGCTCCTTGAGCTCTACAAAATGGCTGTAACCGAGTTTTGGACTAATGTCCTCTTCAGCATCATTTTGCCCTAGTCGAGACTCCCGGCAAAACTCCCACGGCACTCTTGTCATGGGTCCTGCAGGATCCTGCGGGAGTCAGGTGTTCCAAGGATTTCTAAGAACTCTTGAGGCCCCCAGTGGGACTTTGATGATCCTGAGGACTTTCATTGGACTCCCGCAGGACTCCAAAGCTCTACAGAAGTCCTGAGAAATCCCTTGAAAGTCCCACGTGCCTCCTGCAGGACTCCGTGGCAGGAGTGCCATGGGAGTTTTGCCGGGAGTCTCGACTGGGGTGAGCCTCGAAATTCGTAAAATATCGATCGTCTTTTAATGATTTAAGCGCGCTCTTTACTCCGTTTTTCAGAAATGACCAAGTGGATGATAGGTAACCAACCCGTCTCAAGTGCATGAGTAACCCACTCGAATTGTGTGAATTTTCAAATTTTTTCTCAACTGACTTTTCATTCACTCGTAGAGGTTAGCAGCTTTTTTGTTTAGTATTCATTTTATCCTGTACATGTTGCATAGGTAAGACGTATTGTATGTAGCAGAGCTCGATATGTAGAGGACTGGAAATTTTTTGAGTTCAGGAGCGTGTTTCGTCAAAATTCTTAAGTGCTCGACTTAATTAAGTCTAGACTTAAGAAGTCAGACCCAGTGTTTCTAATTATTGGTGGTTCCCGTGACAACAAAGCGGTTTTACACTTTAAAACTTCGATTTCCACTTTGTTTTTAGCAGTGAAAACATGGAAAATGCAGTAGTAAACTGTGGAAAATCATTTTACTTAAAATTCTCATTCGAAACATTGGTCAGACTTAAGTGTATAATATTAATACGTAGGTGTACAAAGCAAAGACTTAAGTCTAGACCAGTGTTCTTAATGATTAGTGGGACAAGCGAGAACAAAATGGATTTCCAATCTGAATAACAAATTTCCATTCGATTTTTCATGCTGAGAAAAGTATATCTCACTTTGTTTTCCACTTTGTCTTTTCTTCATATTTTCTGCCTTAGAAAAGGATAATTTCTCTTTAATCCTCTAATTTTTATCACGATTCAACGTCGCTAGTGTCTGACAATTAACATCAACAGGATATTAGGAAGAAAAAAATTTCTTCTAGCCTCTGCTGGACAAAAATTTAAACTGTTCCTATTTTGTCCACTTTACGTTTCATATCAATGTGGAAAAATCCACTTTGATGCCAATAGCAAAGCGAAAAGTTCCACTCTAGAAAAAATTTCTATTAAAAAACACTGGTCTAGACTTACACAGTTAAGTCGAGCAGAGAATTTTTATGAAACATCCTCCAGGAACTCGGACTGGACTCGAACTTTCAAGACCGTGGACTGGTCTGGACCAAAAACCACTTCCTTGCTTCATTCACGTCGCAGCGCTCGCTCCACGAGCGCGTAACTCCTGCCGCGATCGCTAAAAAGTCGCTGTTGTCGCACCGCGATTGCGGCCAAGTCTTATTTTGAAAAAATTGTAATTGACGATCGTGACGTAACAATTTTTTCTTACATGATTGCGCTTGAATCGCGGGATCGTGCTGCGATCGTTAAGAAGTCGCTGTTGTCGAAGTGCGATCGCGATGAAGTCTTACTTTTCGAAAAGTTCTAATTCATAACCATGAAGCGAGAATAGCGACTTTTTAGCAATCGCGGCCGGAATGCGGTCACTAAGAAAAAATTGTCACATCGTGATCGCATTTTTCTTGTACAACCGCGACATAATACATGACCGTGGCGCGATTCTCGTGAAAATTCTACCATCGTTTTGTTTTGCTTATTCGCCTGGTATATAACTTTCACTAGTTTTCGAAAAATTTCCGGAATCTTATCACATCTGAATAATAGCTTACGACCTGAGTAATGTAATCTCATCGTGCGTACGCCATTCGTCTATGTTCGCGGTAAAAGTAGTGTGACTCATTTACTGATGTTAGACGGAAAGTGCGAATAAACAGCAACTATAGTAAAATATTTTAGAGTCAAGATCGATTTTTGTATAAGCGCAAAAATATCACAATCGCTAAAAATCACGTCTTATTTTGCGAGTTTTATAGCAAACGCGTTATGCGCTAATGCCGCGAATTTTTTAAGAGACTCGCGCCATGACATGCGATAAGAAAGTGGACTTGGGTTGTAGGTACTGCTCTGATACATTTCGACGTTCTTCATTATTTTGCTATTAATTAGAGTTATCTCATACTTCTTCGACGTTCGCTCTTCGCTGCTGAATAGATCAAACCGAAAATTCTATTCTTAACTGTTTATTTTTCTAACAGATGTGATTTTAGGCGCTGACGCACAATAATAATGTTTTCTTGATTCCAGATTACTGGACTTTTTATCTAATTAAAATTAATCGTCAATTCGTCTCTATGTTTAATCAATCGTCAATTCGTTTTTTATTAATTGAAATTAATCACTAATTCGTTTTTTACTAGACTTTTACTATCAACAAACACTGATTTTGCATACGATTCGAATAAAAAAACGAAAAAAAAATTGAACAGTAGAAACAACGGTAGGTAGCATCATTCACGGGTAAACAACTTTTATACCAACTGTTTAGCAACTGAACGTAAGCATCAATTCTTCAAAGCTGGTAAAACAAAAAATTTTATCAATTTGCCACAGACATTCGCATATCGTCACGAATTATGGTCAGCATTGTAAATCATAATCAAGATGGAACTCAATCGCAGAATGTATTACATGGTGATGACGAAGCAAAACTGAGTGAGAAACGAACAAACGATAATGAATTTCAAAATACAATTCAAATGATTAATTTACAAGTTCCGCCACAAGCATTGTTTAAATTTTTATTGTTAAAAATGGAATACAGTACAATGAAGGATGCGTGATTAATACATCAATAGAACATTTTCCAAAAAGTCTAACATTAGGTCTAGTGGAATACATTATCAATGATGGTATTAATTTTGTATTTATTTATCAGAAAATTAAAATAATTGATTGTTCTGTTCCTGTTCGTGCTTTTATAGTGCAAGTTACGGATACAGTAGAACAATGTTTGTTTTCCAACTTCGTATAAAGAGCCATTATTTCATACGGTTCGACAGACCGAGATACTTGATATCATCGATCGGGTTGTAATTTTTACCATATATAAAACCAATATAGACTAGCTTACAGCCAACAGATGGCGCTCTAAAAGTGTTTCCTTCCCGAGTTATAGGTGTCGCTTTATAGAAATTCCCGAAACTTTTATCAAAAAATATTGAATCGTTCTGAAGAAATCTCGGTTTTTCATGTAAAATTTCTGACGCACTTCCCTCCTTGGGCGAACATGATCTAGACATCCAATACTCATGGTAGATAGACCAAAGCGAGCTCTATCGAAAACTGATTTTAAACTTGTAGGCAAAAATCATTTCAGACACGTTGTAAAGGTTTTTCCTTAAAAATCTAGAAAAAAATCGGAATTCTGCCTGTAATTCGCAGCTTTCTCCATCAGAACTCATTTTTTGTACAATTCAGATATTATATTCAGAACCAGCCTCAAAAGCTGAGTCGAACGATATATATCAC